AAAACCATTTTTTAAAAAAAAATGCTTTTTTTTTTTTTTTTTTTTTGCAGATAGCTGCAAGAAACAATGACTTAGGTGAGTTTGATTGTAATTATTATATAAATAACTGTAACTTTTGCTGGGGATGCTTCTCTGTACCTCGTTCTCATTATTCAGTATATTTTTCTCTTTGAAAATATTTTCCAGCATCAGTGGAAAACAATTCACAGAGTGCAGGTGTGTTTTAAAGTCACACTCAGTGTGATTATTTATGCTGTCATAATAAAGAAATTAAGAAGACTTATTGAGCAATTGCTACATGGAATGCTCTTTTCTATATGTAGCCTCAGCAAATCAGAATACATTTCACTTTGATTTCTTTCCTATGTGATATAAGGCACTTCCCTGTCTGCTGTACCCAAGGCTATTGTACGTTTTTGGCATAATAACCAATAGCTCTTGTCTGTGAGAAATGTATTCTAAGTATTTTGGAGTCAGAACTGAAGAGCATGTCACGATGTCTTATGTCAAATTAACAGTTAACCTGCAAATTAACAGCTTAATTGTGCATTCAATGTGCATGATAAAAATAGTAATTTCTTTTGTATGATTCATCCCATTTTTATAGAGGTCAGTTACGATTTTTCTTTAATTCCACAACCTCTAATGAAGAGAACAATGACTTATAATACTTAGCCTTCTACTCTGAAGGCTCCCAAAGCTTCTTAAGCTAAAATATATTTAGTCATGACTTTGATTGCAGCTGCACTGTGACATCTATATTAATATTAATCTTTTCTATCCAGGAAGCAAGGCAGACCTAACCAGTGTTAGCATATTGTGAATGCTAGATTCACTCAGTCTTAATTTACTAATCCTTTTTCACATTATTGCAAAATGAACTTCTCTGAAAGAAATTTCCAAAGGTACAAAAGCTTGGTTAGTGTATACCTCTCATCTCCCTTTTGCACATCTATTTGCCTTCTCAGTGCCTTGTATGCTCTTTATTTTCTTCATCTGCCAGGTAGTGAAATAGCTGTGTATGAAGGAGACATCCTCTTGAGAAGAGGACGACGCAGTGCAATTAACTGTGAGAGTTGTTTATGGCCCAAGTCACAAGATGGACTAGTCAAGGTTCCAATTAACATCTCTTCTGACTTCTGTGAGTGTATGCAAATGGATGCTGTAAAGTTAGCATCGATCTTCCAGTCCCTATACTCTCTGTTATTTTGTGTTTCTGTGGCATGCACCAAAACCAATCTTTGTCCAAATGAGAATTTATTGACATGTCTCCTTTGGTAATCTGTTAGCCCTATGGTAGTTTGGCTAAGACTCCAAACATTTCAGTTACAGACACTAAAATATGTGGTTTCTTGGGCAGTAGTAGTTATATAAATACCACCTAATTAATTTTAATTACAAATATTAGCTCATACCTGCTAGCTACAATGCACTTTGATATTTAGCAAGTACAGAAGAAATACAATTGGTTTATATTATGAATGTATTTTTGTCAAAATTACCACTAGGAGCACTTTTTTGAACACTATAATTTCATTTCAAATCTCTCACAGAAATATTCCTGCACTAGACATCCTGTAGAGGCAAAAATGGAGGAAAAATCCTGGGAGATGCCTTTTCCCTTATTCCCTCTAGTCAGTCAATAGCTCTGTCCTGTGCAAAAGGCTACAGAACCAATGCTTTAATCTACAAAATTTTCTTGCAGAAGACTTCATATGGTCTGTGCAGGTCGTCCATCTCTCCCCTCCTGAGACTTCTCTGGTCTGAGGCTTCCATACAGACCCTTCTTAAAAGATCTTACCTTGAGAGAAAGTGGCATGGAAGTGAAATACAGCCTGTGCCCGATTCCTGTTCCTGGGGAATGGGAATCTGTGTCATCATTTCAGCTGAGGAGAGCCCAGTCCCTGCGTTATTTAGGCTGCTACTCTGCCCACGTGCTTCCAGAACCGCAGCATATACTCTCATGGTTAGGTGAGGGTTATTCCATCTACTCACCTCTCTCCAAACTTTAAAGATGAGGAAATTAAGATACAAATCAGTGGTACGTGATTCATAACTGAGGAAGCTAAACTAGGCCAAAATGTTCAAAAGTAGATAAACACTCTGATCTTTATTTGGTGCCTGAATAGAAACAGTCATCTTCAGAGCCTCTGAACGCTGGCTGTCTCAAGTGATTCCAAGGGGTATGTGGCAGACGTTTATTATCTCTGATAAACAAAATTGGGTTTTGGTGCTTAGCTACAGTCAGCTGGCTCATTTGGGATACTTTAATCCCATTATTTGTATCTGAAACGGTTTCATTTTTTCCGTTCTGTCTAATGGAAGAAACAATGCCAGTCTTTTGTTTTCCATCAGCTGTCTCCTACAAAATATGCATAAGGGACAGCGATAATTCTTACATCTCCCCTTAAAAGTCCAATCAACTGCAAGATCTCTGAAGGCTTTGTGCTCTTTTTTTATTATACTTGTATGATAAAAAGCTAATGAGTGCTGTGAAGTTTTAAAGGAATGCACCCCATCAATGCACCTTGTTTTTGATTAACTGAGGAAGATTTCTCCTGGCACCTTTCTCTTTCTAGCAGTGACAGAAAGGTCTTGGATTGCTGATGCTCTGCAAGAGATCTCCACGCTGACCTGTGTGCAGTTTGTAAATCGCACTACAGAAACAGACTACGTGTATGTTGAACGTGGGCAGAGGTAAGCTCCTTGTCTCCTGGGAGTGGAAGCACTCAAAAGGTCTTTCAGCTTCTTTTCTGTTTTGATCTGGATTTAAGTAATTTCCCTTTTTTATCCTAGGAGTCAAGATTCAGAGAGCAGGTGCAATTTTTCGTTTATCTTTAGATATACTGGTAGTTACATCAGTTAATAAGGTGCAGGAATAAATGTGTGTGTGGACTTAAAGACAATGGTATATAATTCAAAATGAGATATTTTCCTTAATTGTTGCAAAAATTTAAAGAAGTATAATTGTTTCGGGTTCTTTGCCTGAAACAATTTGCTTGCCTGCTTAAACTCTTTCATCTTAGTTTGATATAGCCATTTTACTGTTTTAAAATTTGCCATACTCATCACAAAGGCTTTATTTCTCCCCCTATACAGTTTGGTAGCTTTTGGAAGCCTGGATATCTCATGCCAGTGACTATTTGCATGTCCCCTTCTGAGGCTGCACATCTGGAGGCCCTTGGTGGCATAATCAGTGCATCTATTTCTTTGTATTTGCTAAATGTGATAATTTTTATTATTGATTGCCTATTCTTAGCTGCTGGTCTTACTTTGGAAAAATTGGAGGACGTCAAGCAGTAGGCCTGGTGACAAATGGTTGCATGGATAAAGGAGCAATTCAGCATGAAATGAACCACGCACTGGGTTTCATCCATGAACAGGCACGGAGTGATCGGGACAGGTTTGTCAAGATTATGTGGGAACACATTGTGGCAGGTATGTCCACTAAATCTTAAGAGAAAACATGTACTTTCAGATAAAGGAGAAAGTTTCTTCTGTGAATAGCTATGCAAATAAGAATCATGATTAATGCTGGCTCAGTTGCAGCCGCAGCACATTCAGTGTGATGGAATTTCTCATTCAGTGTTTGTACTAGGGGAATTTCTGTGGCTACACTTACATTAGTGTGGTCCTCCAAGGCAGATGCAGCCTAAAAGTAATTCTACAATCTTATTTTGATTGCCATCTAGATCCCAGACTCACCTTATATCCAAAATACCAAGATCATCAGGAATGCAAAATATTGCTGGAAAGACTTGGCCAGGAGGCAAGACTATGGGACTTTTAGCTGAGATGGGGTGAAACATAATATTCAGAGATTATGGTGGGGAATTGCACAGGAACTCTGTCTTGGGGAAAGCCATGGAAGTAGGCAGAGGTAGGCATCTTGGCAGTGGCAATGAGTGGAATGCACACAGCCTAAAATGTAGATGAACAAGGGACTCGGTGTGGAGAGAATGGAAGCACATGCAACCACTAGCATGTGCAAAATTCTGGGACCTGGCACGGTGTGAGAGGAAGGACTGCAATTATTTCCTCCTTGAGGAGAGAATAATATACACTGCCATGAAAAGAAGGAGCGATGGGGAGCAATCAGGACTGGTAAATCTGTAGGGGGAAAACAAGTGAATGTTATTTACGGAAAGGATGCAAGATGAATAGTTTGTGTGTGTACCTTTGATCTGTGTGCTGGCAACATGGGAGCATATACAAAGCGCCAGGCTCTGGGGAGGGGGGAGTAGAGAGAATGGTAGGAGGTCCCAGGGAAAGTGAGAAAGTGGTACATAGAAGGAAAGTAGAGGAAGAAAGGATGCAAGGAATCACTTGTCTGACAGCTATGAGAGAGCTGGACAACCCACAACAATTGTAAAAAGGTAATAGTGTACTTAGTTCATTATAGAAAATAATAATAAATGAGGCTGGACAATTGAATACCAAATTCTAAGAAGTCTCTTCAACAAATAAGATATTCAATTCTTCAATGGCATGCACAGCTGAAAATATGTCTATCTTTTTCTCCAGATGGAACTTCATTGTTTTTATTGCAAATTCCTAACACACTGTTCTCCAAAGTTTTTTCAGCTATTCCCATGATGTCCTAAGTAAATTCCATTTGTGCTGTTCTTTATTGAAGTTTGAGCTCTAGTGTTAAGGTGTAATTTTGCTATAAATTGTTCACCATTGTAGAAGGGTGTGCCATGTTCAAAATGCTAGTAAAGGATGTGCTAGGAAAGAGGAGTGGAAAGCATGAAGTTGTACCAAAGATACTAGACACATGTAAAATCTTACATTAGTTTTGCAGGGGAAAGTCCACAGGTTCAGATGTCATCATTCCTAAAGGACTCAGATGTAACCAAGCTCTTATTCAGGCACAGTGTCATGAGAGGATAAAAGAGGGGGAAGAGGTGAAGACAAGACTATGCAAAAGGAGATGGGGTATATCTTCAGTGTTCTAATAGCGTTCAGGAGGAATGGAGGCTGAGAAGACTGGTGTGATGAGGGAGCTAGAATGCAAAACGTGTGCAGCACAAGCACTGTAGGGAAAAAATGCAAAGATATGCAGCGAAAATTAAATGAAGAAACGCAGCTATGTTCATGAGGACTGTTAGTGTCTATCTCCTACAGAAACATGCTGCTGCTAACCATGCTGATGGCAGAGGTCCCCCTGACCTCAGTGGTGCAGAACTAGACCCCAAAACCTTTCGCAGCTTCCCAGCTCTCCCACACAAGCTGTTTTTCTCTTGACAGGACTTCAATACGGTGGATGTTTGCTGGGTTTTGTTTTTACCCAGCAATTTGCCTTGGAAGCCATCCTACTTCTTTGTTTTGTCAAAATGCAGCCTGATAGGTTGCTGTCCACTTAGCCACTTGAAACTCAGCTTGTTTTTCCCAAACTTTTGGGGAAAAAAACTGTATTCAGAGTCTTCAGCCAAAGCTTCCTCTTCAGCTCTTCTGAGTCATTACATTTAGATTCTGGCAGAGGTAAATTTATCCCTTTTTTTGGAGTGGAAAAGATGGGTTAAGGCCCCACATGCGTGCAGGTCTAGACAGCCAAATCTCTCTGCCATGTGATGAGGCAGATACTAGTCTGCTGGCAGTGCCTCTGTCCAGACAGGCTGCTGTTACTTTTTCTTTTTTAGCAAACAAATTCAGCAAAGCACTTATGTGCCAAACAGTAGCCATATGCTTAAATGTTTCACTGCATATGAGCTTGTGTTCTCTGTTCATCACCTTAAAAGAAGTTGTGCACTTGCTGATAATTCTTTCTGAAGTCAGTATAACAGATAAGAGGAACTGAGATAAAAACCTAACAGAGTCAGGAAAGCCAATGCTGTTGAGAACGAGTTTTGAGTCTTAACTGAGTTTTTGAGCTATGAAAAGCTCCAAAGTCATGTTTATCCCCAAACTTTCTGTAATTCAGGATTTTGAAGCTTCTCTTTGTATTTCCTCGCCCTCATTGGGACCAGTGCTAAAGGACATTACTGGAAGAGACTGGCTCTGATTGCAAGCCTGCCAGCCAAGTTGTGCAGACTCCAGAGATTTTTCTGACAAGTGTCCAACACTGAACTCTTGTCCAGATGGTTTGTGGTTTACAAACCACTAGTTGCAGTAATGAAGGTACAGATGTTGAACTGGAAAGGAGTTCTCAGTGGTTAGGGCATTAGCCTCAAGGCCAGGCTGACTGTATTCAGCTCCCTATTCTGACATTGCTTGCTTGCCTGTCTTACCACGGACAAGAGACCCAGGGTGCAATTCATATTCATGCTCTCCAGTCAATGGAGGGACATAGGTGCCTTCAGATGAAACTCCCTCCAACTGCGTCTCTCTTTCTCTCCCTCTCCTCCAACTATCCTGGGAGCCTTGCTGAATAGCTTCAGTGCCTAACTTAGACAAATAAAACTAGATTACATGAATTCCAGTCTGTGTCTTTGCACCCCAGTCCTGTATCAGTGTAACACTTTCTTACTTCATATAGGCTTTTTAAGGCTAAAGAGATGAAAAGTGATGAGGTGCTCAGCAGCTGTGATGAGAGGGGCTATTAGCAGCAGCTGTATTTAGACAGAACATTTCTCGCTGATCTTATTGAGTGCCCTTGCTTCACGTGAGTCGTATCACTTCACGGTAGTCACTGCTGATGGGTTTGACCAGAGGCAAAGCCAGAACATGGCTAATAGCATATCCTTTGGTGTGAGTAACAGGAAAACTGTATCCCTTTCTTCTGTGGTCTTATAACCCTTTGGTGGAAGGACTCAGCAAGACAGGTTGGTGGTCACCCACACATACTTCTGAATTTTTGATCGAGATGGTCAGCCAGATTTCCCTCTCAAGGTATGGATGTAGCTTTGGGGACATAGGTTGGATGCTTATAATGTTCAAGATAATGCACTGAAATATATTTGCAGACACCTTAGTGAAAATGGACAGATTAATACCTTTACTTGGAAGAGTGGAATGGATTAATTGATTATATTGAAACTTTGACTTATTTGATTCAGTTTATATTCTGAGACCTACTAGATTGAGTGAAAATGGGTCCCCATGAGCTTCAAAAGGCTACAGTGGTTTTGATGGATCCAATATCTCATGAGAACAAGTATTTGTATTCTAAGTTATGATTATGACAGCGGGCAGTGTACTATAGAGCAGCAATAATTGTTCTGACTGAAATGTTGCTTTCCTACCTTACAGGAGAACAAGGGAACTTTGGAAAAGTGAATTCCAAAAATCTGGGCCTTCCCTATGACTATTCTTCAGTGATGCACTATGGCGCGTAAGTTGTTTTCTGAGATGTCTTTTCAAAGGAGCAAAGAACTGTCAGATCTTCAGCTCAGATCTAGGAAGAAGGAGTTGGTCTGTGCAGCGAATGACTTTTGCTGTTCATTTAAAATTGAGTGAATGGACATAATTAAGGGTGAGCATATGTCCTTTGTCAGCAGGATTCCTGGAAAACACAGTTTATATGGATAGAAGAAAAAATTAGGACAATGTTTTCTTTCACTGTACTCCTGTCTTTTGCTAGAGGCCTTTGACATGACTATGGTCTAAAGTCTAACTTTACTGAGTCACTGATCTAAAACAGTTCTGAAGTCTAAATGATTTCATTAATGTAGTAACAGCTGATCATAGACAACAATATTTAGGTACAGAGGGAAGAAAGATGGAATTTTTTTATATCATTAAGATGTTGTGTGCTGCCTCATATTCATCTGGGAACACTGTCTAAGGTTGCATTTTAGTCCATTAATGTACAAGCTTGTATCACGTACCTTCTCCTTTATTTCCACCAGCGAGTAACAACTTCTGAACAAAACTCTGAAATAAAACATGTCTAGCCAGAGGTGGGAAATTGCAGATAGCAGATAAACAATTAGTAACTGAGACAGAGCTACTCTGGTCCTCTGCCTCTGGAACCATGAAGGTGGGATTCAGCTCACTTTGCCAGGACATTGGTGAAAGCTCTCCTCACTCAGGACAGTGCAGCTTTTTCTTGTTTCTTGCTTTCAGCTGCTGCACACAAAATGTCTGCCATGCTGGTTGTCTTCAGGGAAGACTAACTGGGCTCTGATAAGTTTCTTACCCTTTTCCATTGAAATTCTGTGCATGTGGTACATGAATACGATTATGCAGTTAGAGTACTTCACTGTTTAAACGAAGTGATCTACAGATGTTTTTTTCTTTATTTATACAGGTATGATTTCTCCAGCACTCCAGGGAAACCAACTATTGTACCAGTTCCTGACCCCTCTATACCCATTGGGCAGAGAGAAGGGCTGAGTAACTTGGATGTAGCTAAAATCAACAAGCTCTACAAGTGCAGTAAGTGCTGTAGATGGAAGGCATGTGAATCCTTATGCAGCTGATGTCTGTACACACTATCAGACAACCCCCAAAGGAACTCAGCCCACTGTCCTTTCAATACATCCCTCCCTCACTCTACAAGAGGGCTGGTATGCACGTGGAAACAGACCTGTCCCTGTGCCAAGCTGCTGCCTTCTTGGAAAGAACAATTTACTTTCAGTACTGTCATTCTGAGTTATCCTCACCTAGTCCCTGCTCTTTGCCATAAGCAAAACCCATCAGAGAAATCATGGTTGCTGCCTCTGTCAACTTCCCATTTCAGGAAAGCTCTGAAGGTTGCAAAGCATGTAAGCCATCCTCAGCCATGAGTCACGTGTATCAGTAGTGCCAGCAGGTTTGTGATTTCTTTCAATGAGAAAATGAAGGCAGGGCATTAGGTATGGGTTCCATTTCAGCTGATCAGAACATCTCTTTGAGGTGAGTTCCTAAGGCTTTTTTTATAGTTATCTACTTTCTCGCCCCATCCATTTCTTAACTCATCACTGTGGTATCTTAAGGTCTAGAAATACCTAGCATTCCTCTGTATGAGGTAGCCTTCAGCTGAGATGCACAAAACATAGGTGAAACACCAGACACGCTCCTGCAGTGCAGTTTTTGCCTCGACTGACAGTACATAGGCTAATTGATTTATATGGTATTGGACTTTTCTGAGATGTTATTCAACTAGTTTCCACCAAAACAGCAAGAAACATTAACATGGCCAAAATATTAGTGTACCAAGTTCTGCTCTGGATTGTGTTAGAACTTAGTTAAATAAACATCAGTAATTAGTGGGAATCAGCATTCCTTCAGTTGGGTAGTTAGGTACAGAAATCATTGCTGAGAGTGGTTCCTCCCAAATTCTTAAGTTCAGATAAGACAAGTTTACAATTTACATGTCTGTCATGGTCTCAAAGATAGTGATAACAAGCATTTAATGATATTTATTGTTGATAGTGGGGCTGGGAATGAATCACTCTTCAATACCTTTATTATGTAATTTCATAATTACATCTATTTGTTTTGGAAGAAAAGGGCTACATTTAAAAAAAAGGAGAACAACTCAGAAGCTAAAAAAAAGTGGACAAAAAGTCCAGTTGTCTCAAGGAAAGTATGGAGCAAGAGAAAAATGTCATAAATTCATATGTTCAGATGTCATATATTAATATTTTGTAATTTGGGGAGTTACACATAGTGCAATAAATGAAAACTACATGTGGAAAAATGAAAGACAGATGAGATCAGACTTTGTATACCCGTCACTAGGTCTGTAGCTTGACTTCAGTGCTCTCTGTCACTGTTTTCCCCCAGTGACTACCCCTCTTTTCTTTGAGAGAATCTACTTTTCAAGCTTGATTTTTGCATGCACTTATGAATACACACACATTTGCTGATGAGAATTGATGCACTAATGTCATTGAAACTACTCCTGGGATTGAGGTTAAGGAAGTTCATGAAAGATCCAGGCCTTTTTTAGTAAACTAAGGTATGTGAGTGGGTCCCTACTGTCTTAAAAAAAAAAAATAGTAGCTGAAGCAGATAAGTACCTTAGCTAGCTTTATTTCACTTGCAGATTTTGAATAACTTTTATACTAGCAACATCAACACCACTCTAAGCATTACAATTCATTTTTATTTTACAAGCTTGACTGATGCAAATGGTTGGAGAGACTTGTCAGACATTTCTGGAAGATTTTTGTGCAGTTTTCATTCTCTTCAATACTGTTTGGTTCCTCCCTTCAGATTGCTGTAGCTCTGTGTTGCCTAAATCCAAAGGCTCGTTCTCCTCTGTCAATTACCCATCCCCATACCCGAACAACAGCAACTGCCTGTGGTTGATCCGCATCCATCGAAGTAAGGTAATTTTTATTAGAAGAAGAAAGGTTTGAACCACAGTGTCAAGGCTACACACCATTATTTCATTATTATGACTACCCTCTGGGAGTCGTTTTCGTGGAGCAAGACATTTGTTTTGTTACACGGCAAATGAAAAGACAGCCTCAACAATTTTCATAAGACTTATTAAGACTATCAGATGCATTACTTAACTTGATTTTTGCCCAGTTAAGATTGGATGGCTTTTCAAAGACAAGCAATAGTCAAACATCAATCACTGGGCTCAGTAAGAGGGTAGCTAGGTGAAAGTCTAAGCTCTTTATATACAGAAAGTAAAATTTCAGTGATACATAGATAGTAAAATGAACACAAAGTCCTAGTTCAATTCATAACAATTAGATGGTTTGAATCTTTCCCTGTGTATAGCACTAAACCCAACACCTGTTTTCTTGTTTCTCAAGATTTTTCTGCAGTTTGAGGCTTTTGATCTCCAACCCTCCTCAGACTGTTCTTCTGACTATCTAAAAATTTACAACGGAAACAGCAAGAATTCCCCTGTCTTGCTGAACAAATACTGTGGGAAGGCACCACTGCCCTCCTTAGTGGCATCTGGATCGACAATGCTGGTAGAGTTTGCAAGTGATGAGACCATTACAGCCACAGGATTCAGAGCCTCCTATAACAGGGGTATGAACACTCCTTTACAAAGCTTGGAGAACAGAATTAATAGTCTTTGTATGGAAGAACTGAAAATTTTGAACATGTACTCCAAAGTAGTTTTTTTCTGTGTTATTCTTCCACTTCCATAGCAATTGCTAATGTGGAAGGCTAAGCAATGATGGAGCTGAAGGTTAGCAGAAAACAGAAAATGTGATGTTGCATGGGTCTCATGTTAGTAATCCTGAGAACCCACTCACATTCTTCTGAGAGCCTCTGCTAGGTTTCTTCACATCTTTAGAACAATTTATTTAAATAAAAACAATGCAATGACTGTAACAGGAGCAGCGCAACCAAAAAGCACAAAGACTGCAAAACTCGACAAGACATCTCAACCAATGAGATGTAAAGCTAGTATCTGGGCAATATGTTATTCTGGGTTTTGTGGCATTTTATGCAAGGGGAGAGGTACTAACCTTGCGTAACTTACATTTTCTGAATTAAAGGCTTTGTTATGTTACATGAAACACAGTGCTTACTGTAGTCACTTGAGGGGTGTCTGTTTTACAAACATACAAATGCATTATGAACTGCTGGATAAAATTCTGTTGTGCTGCAACATGCTTTCAGTTAGAAGGCAGTAGCCCAAATAACTTGTTATTGCCTTATTTCAACTCAAAACACAAACTTTTTTAAAGCATAAGTTGAAGAAGTCTTAGAAATGTGTCATTTTTACTCTTTGCATTAGTCTTGATGAGTAGTTTCTAGATAGCATTAGATCTAGCTTGATAATGCAATCTTGAATACTTGAGCTAATTATTTTCTGAAAGTGCAGTAAGTTCCATTAGAATGCTATGCTAATATGGTTAACACTTAATTGTAAAGACAGATATAGCTTTAGATGCAGCTGTCCTCCAGAAGTTATTTAGCAGACATGTTTTAGTTCCTTCAGTAGAGCTGCTGATACAAATACTAAGCAAAGAAATAAAATATTTCAGCAGTAGATTTTCATGGTAGCATATTTTTTCTTGTCTTGAAGAAAGAATACAATAAGCAAGCTCACTTCTACTGCCGAAATACTCTTGTTAATATGCCTTTCTCTGCTTTTCTCCTTTATTCTTCAGTGAATTGTGGAGATACTTTCACAGACTCAAATGGAGTCATCACCTCTCCAAACTACCCCAATAAATACCCCAAAAACCGAGCATGCTTCTGGGTCATCAGTTCTCCAGTAGGATACAAGGTAAGACACAGATGAATTCATTTGTGGGTTTCATCAGGGTTCTCTAATGGAATCTTTTTTTTTGCCTTGGAGAATAACAGCTGTAATGTCACTTTTTGAGCAGGCATCCTCAGAGTAAAAATCTGAACACAAAAATCCAGTTTAAGAACTTATGCTGGATCTTGGTATCTGAGGCGTTCATCAAGAGAAAACCTTTACACACGCGTGTGAACTCTCATGAATTTAGCTTGTACCAGTAGGCTTTGTTCAGAATAATGCCTAGGTAAGAGTTCTCACTAGAAAACGGAAATGTTGCACAGGTGCTGTTTTTGTATTTGTCCAGAGAAAAGAATTTAAAGTGTACAAGACCAGTCTTGTCCCTTGCTCTCCTTCCATTGCAAATGCTGATAAACTAAGCAAATAATTTGCTACTAATTTGCATTATAATATGGGATCGGGATGTGGTGCAACGGTGCCTGCACATAAGGAATTTAGACTATTTGTGCTTGAAACAAACGGTAAGAGAAAGGGATAGGAAAAAAACCTGGAAGCAAAGTGCTTTGGTTGTATTTTCTCCAGATATCTCTCAAAATGTTATCCTTTGAGCTGGAAGATAGTGACAGATGCATCTATGACTACGTGCTCATACATGATGGAAGCCGACCTACATCACCTGCAGTTGGCCCTTACTGTGGGACAGAGAAGGTTGCAGACTTTACTTCCACTGGGAACTTTGTACTGGTTGAATTTCACAGTGATATAGTTTGGGAGTTGCCTGGATTCGTGATGAGTTACACATTTGGTAGGTAGTAGTATTACAGATGGGAGTTGGAAAATACAGAATGAAAGTAAGAGACCAGCTAGCCACAGGTAAAAGTTAAGATGCCACCAATGTTAGCAAAAAAATATAGCTCCCTGATACCTTTAGCAAGCTTGAAGCTTGATCCCTTAGTCTTACATCTACAGTGGTGTAATTTGCATGGTGAACTATGGACAAAAATGTTCCTGCCCATGGGATGCTTCTGTCTGAGACTGTAAGTTTTTTCTTACAGTATTCCCACTGCTGGTGTTAGTGGTGAAATACAATAGCAGAACTGAAACTACGTAAGCAGATTTTCAAGAACTTCTAGTGTTAGAAACTGTGCCCATAAAATTTCAGAATATGGTTATGCAGCAACTTTAACCTGTATTCTGACAAATGTTATTACCCAACCCTAATGTATGTATGCATACAGGAAAAACTTTCAGACCCGACTGGACACGTTCCTGTGCAACCTGCCCTAGGTGATCCTGCTTTGGCAGGGGGGTTGGACCAGATGATCTTCAGAGGTCACTTCCAACCCCTACCATTCTGTGATTCTGTGTGATTCTGTTTGTTTACGCTTTGAAGCCAAGCTCACTTAGTTCGTATAGGCACCTTAGCTTAGCCTGGAAATCACCACTTTACACTGCAGGTGCAAACTAGGATGTTTGTACAGCATCTCAACTCAAAGAATTGCATTATTCCTCTGTGAGATGAACCAGGTCAGGAAACAGATTTAACTAAAGAAACAATTAAGAGTGGCAATAACAAGCAGTGAGAGAGAGGGAACAGAGCGAAGCACCTATTGTTGCCACTTTGCCGTGGCCTGAGTCAGGTATTGAAATTGTTCATGGGGTATTACCAAAATATTTCTTAAAGATGAAGCCTGAAAATCTAATGCGAAGTCCACTGAATGTAAATGAGCCAGTTACTTTGGAGAACATAATAGGTGTGGAGAAATTTTCCACCTCTGAAGAGACATCTGAAGAGGAGAAAGAAATCACCACTGCAGACAGCTAACACTTTGCCTTGACTTGATGTATTCAGAACTAAATGTCAGTGCCAAACTGGAAGGTGCCAAAATGTAATAAATAAACAAAAGTTCTTGCTGCAATTATGCCTTTGTGAAGAAGAGCACATAGAAAATGCCAATTTGTTTTCCTGTTGCTAGGAAGGCAGCCAAGAAAATTTTGAATTATGCTGACTTTTGGTTTGTTTGGGGGTTTTTTTAAGGATCTGTAATGTTTTCCTTTTAAGCACTCATTAATTTTCACTCTCAGAATATGTAAGTTGTGGACATCAGGGTCTGGAGCTTGCTTGCATCATAGTGGGAAAGCGCATGTGCAGCAGGTAACAAATATCCATAGTTCTTACAAGATCCTGTCTTCTGGCTATAAAAAGTATTCCTTCATTTAATTTGGCTCACTATTTAAATTGGCACCTTTCTGGAGGATGTAACAATTTCAGCAGCATGAGAGAAAATTAAACTCTATTTCTATTTTAACTTCAACTTCACACTGTACATCCTTCTCCCGGAGCCTGAGGACTTCCATGGAGGTGCAAAGCTAATAACCCCATGACAACTGTTATTGTACACAAAGTTGAATGGGTCCCTATTTTAAATATACAGTGCTGAATGGCTTTGTAACTTGAGTATTACTTCAGATTCCCTTCCCATGGCCTGATGTGGGGCTCTACATAGCTCCAATGTTTTAGATGTTCACACATATTTGGTAAAGGAGCATGAACGTGTTGAAACAGCAGCGTACCACATAGAGGAATATTAGTCTTGCAACTTGTCCCCAGAAATATGGCTTTAAAACCATAGGAGTTTTAAAGGACATAGACACAGTAGAAGTCTGAGATGTGGCAATGTGACTTGATCAGGGTGCTTTATTTGTAAGTAAGCCCCTTCTGCAGACAAGTTGTACGCCCTAAGGGTACAGTCTGGCTAAAGACTCCAATCTCATTTGTTTTGAAAATATGAATTCAACAGTAATGATGTAGAAATGCATTCCTGAATGTACAGACAGGTGGAAATATAATGTGATGAGTAAGTTCTCCCTTTCATAGGAAAGGCTTTTCAGTCTGAGATCTAAAGGTTCTGCTCTTCATGAGTTCTGTTAGGGGTCCTTGTTAACCACTTTCCTTAAGGGATAGCCATGTTAGCTGGAGCTTCCACACATGCTCCAAACCACCTCCTGACCCTCTGCAGATATAAAAACCTTCAGCTTTCCTCTAATTACTGCTAAAACCTCTGGTTTCCTGCCTGCAGTCTCCACTTTAGTTATATATTACTCATCTATGAATCTGTGGCCCACCGAAGTGGAAAATGCAAGATACAAAACATCCTGATAAATGGTATCCTTATAATGACTGCTGCTCATTTTCACCCACAGTTAGTTGCAAGTCTTAAATGGAGAAGCTGTAGAATTCACAAACTCTGCTAAGAGCTTAAGCTGTGTACCCAGCTGCACAGTGTAAGCGGACTTGCATCTAACAGACAACAATCCTCCCATAACAGGCATTGCCCATACATAAAAAGGATTTATAAGCTTGCTATTAACATTCATACTCTGAGATACACAAATTAAGAGTGACCAGCCAGTAGACACAATGAACAATATTGCCAAAAGTTTAAGATTCAAATACTACTATAGGAGGATTTTGAGAGGTTGTAATGAAAGTTCAGCATTCATTTAACACACCTTTGAAATCCAACATGTAAGGATTTAACCGTAAAAAACAGAAGTATCTGTTATGATGAATATATATATATTCCCATATATGTACATACCTCATGACACAAACAGGTATTATCTTAACTGCATATAAAACCAGATCTGTCCTAAGAGAGACCTACTTCCACAAGCCTCTCTGTGTGTGTAGATGAGACAAGAGTGTTTGTGCCCATGTATTCCAATCTTACCTGCTTTGGGACTGTCCAGGTTCCTATCTGGGAGGCAAATCAGGGCCTTTGAGTGGTATACTTTGGTAATCTGTATGAACCAGAAGAGAGATCTGTCAATTACAGCTGTAAGAGAAAAACAGCCTGGAATAAAGCTCTACAGAAACACACAAAAATGTGTGTTTCTCATAGGTCTTTTTTTGTTTTTAATTTAAAACACATTTCCCTTGCATAAGTAAATAACTGTGGTTGAGACAACGCTTGCCTGCATGACTAGAAGCCCAATGCCTGACAGAAAATAAGGACAGCTTTTGGCATGCTGATAGTACGGTTGGCTCCTCATCTAGAAGAAGAAAATGAGCCTACTGAAACAGCAAGAGAGTATTGAAACTCGGTTTTCAGTTTCACTCTGGTGATGATCTGCCCTTTTATCCCACTGAACTGCAAGGAGAAACATTACAGCCTGGGAGACATAGTAGGCAGATGGCCACATTTTTAATTAATTCAAACTTTTTCAGACCAAAAGTTGTACTTCTAGATGCGTTCCATTATAGTAATCAAGCCCCAAGATTATCAAGGCCAAGTCTAATACACTGGAGCACAGTTTCACAGCAAGTTAGAGAAGAATACAACATTTGCAGCTATAACTATGTAGGACAGAGAATGCACAACTTACTGTGCAACAACTGAGTTTGGCAAGGAGAAGACATATGAACCAAAGACCACTTAATCTCTCCTACACTTCAAACAGAAATTGAAAACCTAATGGGTTAAGTCGACATATAGGATTTTAATAATAGGAGTTCCCTTTATCATGGGAAACATCTGCAGGCAAGAGGACAAAGAAAAGCTGCTGCTGTTCAGCAGCCAAATGGCCTTCTGGTGCAGGAGCTGGAAGAACAGTGGGAGCCGGCCCCCCTCTGGTGGACACATGGAACATGTGTCCATGGTTCCTTCTGGGAACATGAAGGTGCCTTGTTCGTGTTCTCCTACCCTGGTCACGACTCTCAGTTCCACCCTGCAAATTCAGCCAAGGTGTTTCTAAACGGGTAAGTTCAATTTATTTAACTGTCTTGCTTACTAACTTGTCCTGTACACCTCTGTTGGTGGTGCTCTCTGGATAGGAAGGTTCTTTGGGTCACTGCTTGTATTTTGTATTAAAAAGCAGAACTCCAAATCACACCTGTCAATCAGTAGGTTGCACTATAACATTCCGATTGAAATTTCCTTTTCCTCTTTTCCCATTGACCAGCTTAATAGCAAAGACAACATCAAATTAAGTCTTTCATTTGAGTCAATATTGGTTTATATATGTTTTGATTCCCTGCCTTATGCCTACAGTACCTGGAATCTCCAAGTGGTCTCCAGTACAATTGCTGGACAGGTGAAATGTTTATTTTCCACGTTTTATACAGTTGTCTTTATAATGTTCTTTACCACTAAAAAACCCTGAAAGCTTGAGAGGGGAAATCCCAATTTTTTTCCTTTAAATTTAGCTTTGTTCAGATTTCTTCTTCCTTGAATACATCAGTCAGTTTCCTAATTTAATTATGTAGATCTTTACAACGTGGACTTACCTATTAAACTGGAAAGAATGCAAAACGTAATTGCAAACCCACACAATTAACAAGATGACTCATAGGGACCAACAGCACTTAGAACTACAGTCAGTAACTTTTTTTTTTTACAAACGCTATAGGACATTCACTTCTGACGGTGTGCAAACAAACACTGGCTGTGTTATTGGCTGGGCATAACTGGAGTTTTGCAGTTCAGCTGACTTCATGCTCTTCTGAACTGGGATCTCACCACAGGTTCAAGACAAAAAACGAGAATAACTAGGGCGCAATCCTGTCAGTAGCGGGGAATATGCTTTTTGTCTTATTAACACCCGACAACAGCTAACGGGCAAAAATGCAACACCCTACTACCTCCGCTGTACTGGGAGTACGGCACACCTCTCCGTACGAGGCAGCAACGCCGTACTGAAACTGTTGTAAGCAATTGCTTTAACTACGTAACGAGAAACCAATGAACCACCCAGCCTGCCGGTCCTCCCTCTCTCACTTCAAAAGCGGCAATGCCTTTCGTT